CATAGTTAGTCGGGGTGTGTGTGGTTTTGACAGTTGATTGAAAGGGAGGTCACGCCTGAAGGTGTCCCAGCACCCGCCGGGTGGGGGTAAGTGGGCAGTACATGGAGGAATTCAGTAATACCTGATTAGATTACATCTTACAATCTCACGTCTGTGAACTTGAATTTCACAAAAACACAAAATACTTTCGGGAAATCTGAAATCCCAGATTTCTTGTTTGCAATAAGGTTCCGTCCAGTGCCTACCACCATGTATGGTTTGTCCTGTGTTTAGATAAAGAACAGCATTAAAACACGGAAAACGTCGATTATGGACTTCGGGACGGCACGGCATTTTAACAATCGATATCACTTGATTCATCTGTAAACGCTAGGTGTAGTTCGCGCAAGGTCTTCTGCATTTTAGCATGCATTGGAGTATTGCCAAATACTGTAATGATGAGGAGATTGCCCAGGCATGCATATACAACTCAAATCTCAAGCCTTGGGCAATGCCGGGGGAGGGGGGCTTTTAGATGCCTTTCATCTAGTATTTCATCTCGTCACACAGTAAAGCGAACAAATGAGTGTCGATACGAAATTTGTACAACATAGTTACTTTATTCAATAGATCTATCACATCATTCTGTCAATGTTTTGGCCGCCGACACTTTACGTACATTTCAGGCAATAAGCCTTAGCTAGGTTGAGACCTGCCTTTCTCATAACTACTTTATCATGTATTAGCGGTGTGCATCTTGGGTATTATTAAGATCTGATAGAACACTCCACATAACTCTTCACAGTCATCACATCTTAGCAAACATAAAATAATAATATAGATATAGAACATATATAATATAGAAATCATCAGCAGGCACAGGACAAGCCCATTGTCATTTGGAACGTCGCACGTCTCATTGACTTTTACAACGTGATACTATTTACGTTGGGTCATCACAGGTGGTGATCTGACGACTCTACACCCTTCTCGGATTTCTGTTCCTGTAAACGTTTTACGTATTGTCATGGTGGCCCATTCCTTGATATTATTCTCCGTACCTTTGAGAATATGAGCACTAATACCTCAAAACCGTACGATGAAGCTACGCTATGTCTCAATACATGAACTATTTACCAAGACACAATCCATCTAACAAAAGTGGGCTGTAACAATAACAATAACAACATCGATACGAATGCCAACGACAACCAACGCAAACCTTCATTTTACTATATCTATTATATACCAATCCTTTATATGTACATAAATGACTATACAGGTACGTTTTATACAGCGCGTTTCACTGGAATTTACTTTAAAGGCAGACTCAATGGCAGTGTTATTGTCTAAAAATTTATATTTCTCAAAATAACCAAATTTGTAAAACTTAGTTATAGATTAACAAGGAATTGAACTAAAGTTCCTTGGTATGGATTCCAACGGGATAGTTATATTGCTGGAGAGCCATGCCCCTTTTTTGCTTAAAGTAAGAGGAAAATTTAGATGGCGGAAGATTGCTACACATCTCACACATTACAAACCTTATTTTCACATCACCCCTAGATTTCGTAACAGTGCCTGCTTTTGTTGAGGGCAGCATTTTTAATCTTATTATCGGTTCAATAATATGACGGTCAGAAATCAAAGTCACTTTTTTGCCAAACAAAAAAGGAAAATAGAGTTGCTAAGGTTATGAGTTGACAAACAAATGTCCAGAAACGCATTGCAAAAGTAATTTCAAGATCAGAGTCCCCGTTTTTTCAATGGTTATTTGCGAAATAATACAATGTACATTACACCTGGCCATGGCTGTAAATGATATGGAGGGTATACTTGGAGGTTACCAGAATATTGATGCCGCATGATATAGCTGCTACTTAGTCCAAAATCAATGCCAAGTTGCCAGTACAGTTACTTGTGGGGATTCAGAAAATACCAGAATACCTGCACTTGAGTCTACCTTTAAATGCCAACAGAGATATGAACCGCAACACAAAATCATTGTGAGATCATCTTATGACTAACTTCATGTAAAGATCTGATTTGTTCCGATTAAAATCGACTGTGAAGTATTGTATAGTGTAGGTAGTGTTTCTCCATCCAGATATACAGCACGTTTAAGAACATTGTTATTCATAACGTATTCATAAATTGAACGTTAACACTCATTTATAAGATACATAAGCAACTTGTCCAGAAGTAGGATATTGTTGACACTTAAACGGAATACTGACGTCGTCACTACACAATCTCTCAAAGAAAAGCAACTTTATACACATTATATGTACAGGTTTACGCAACGTATCTGCCATCCGGCATTACGAGATGCTACGAAAAAACGAGAGGATCAGGTACACATTCGGTACCCTCCTTCCTAGTTAAAAGAAGCATTAAAATCGGAAGGTGGTTATTTTCCAATAGATTGTCAATGAATACAAAATGAATTGCAACAGACTTTTTGTTGAATTTTACCAAATGTTTTGTAAAATGAATCTGTTCAATGTCTATCATTACCCCCGTGCATTCCCTACACAGTTTATACTTCAGCGCGAGACACCTTCCCCCAGGCTACAGGGAGACCATTAGAACTACCAATTTGCCCTTCATGTCAGCCAGCGATTACACCATTCCCCCTCCCTCCCCGTGTCTCTACTCTATTAAAAAGAACTACAAACACACGGGTGAACAAACGGAGAAACAAACACACCGAAAATAGAACCACATTACACGGAGGTGACATATCCCTCCGCCCCTGAAGCATCACGACAAAACACGACAACGAGGAACATGGAACCTTCCCTTCCAGTGTCACACCGAGATATTCCAGGTGAGAATGTAGCAGTCGATTTCAGGCAGGTCTTACGCCTTAACATCCGGAGTGTAAAACTCGATCGTGCATGTTTTACACCGTTATCATTAACCTGGAACGGCTCTTTAAGATTTCCTTTACATAGGACTTGCGTTACTTTGACGCGAACCACCAATGAGTGCTTTCGTAATTTCAGGAAATGGTGGTCACGCAAGCCCAAGCATTTTTGTGCTTTCACATTTTAACATATTGTTTGTTCAGAAGTGGCAAAGATTATATTATAATGTTTACGGACTGTCAAATCATTTCTATAAATATTTCTGTATTTGGCTATGTAATAACTAATTATCGTCGGTATGCTTTCAGCTGCAGTGCGCGTGAACTTGAAATGCGGCACTTATAACGTTGTCTGTGACCTTGACTTTGTGTGACTTTGAGTGGACTTTTTGTGAACCATGTAATGGCAGACATGGGCATTGTCCTCGGGGAGCATGTCGGGTAAATCGTACTGCGCCTGCGCGGAACCCGGATTTTTCCACAGTTTTCGTTGGACGTTTGGTCAACGTTGCATCAGAATTTTTCCCGTTACTGACCAGATGCGTTGCAGACAATATATTTTCTGACACAGCTTTGTGAACTAAAGACGGCATGTGTAGGTAGTAAGGCCAAAATCAATTTTTATCCCCCAAACACTACTTACAGTTTTCAGCCATGTTGGTATCTGATATCATTTCGAAGCAATTAAGGAATGTGAACTTGGACCCTGAAAACTCTTTCGTCACCATTACCGCGCACTTTAGTACTACAACGCAACGGACCGAGTATGCACCGTTAAATACGCGTATACAACTTATAATTATAAGAGGCGTTCTGTCGAAGTGACATGCACAATGCGTTACGGGTTTCGCGCAGGCGCAGTGCCTGCTGCCGACATGCTTCCTCGGATACACTTATTCACATCCGGGAACGTGAGGAAAAATGTTGGTCATGTGACTGGAACATCCGGGCTCTTACAAGTACGTGATGGAGGTGTTGACGTTGGTCACATCTAGTCAGCTGGGGCCTTGTGAGGCGACAGTGTCCGGGCCGCACGGCTCCAGGGGGTGAACCTGGTTCTGGTCCTGGTTTCGCCTGGAGAAAATAAATTTCTTGGTCATAAAGTGAACACCATAGATTCACAGTCTTAAACAGATAAAACCATTTCATCCAAAAAGTGTATGTCTGTGTGTTTGACACTCTCTTGATGGTGCGTAAAGCTCCCAACATGATACGATTATATCTCATTTTATAAAGGGGGAGGACGATGCACCTACTACGTACACGATAAACCAAATATGTGACAGGTATTCCTATCCATTATTTGTTCATAGGTCTAAACACAAACACTTTATCAGTTATGCAAAACAAAGAAAGAAAAGAAACAAACAGCCAGTGGTTTTGTTGTTAAAAATCGGTCTAATTTTTTCAGTACCACTTCGAAAGGATGTAACACACACTTCAGCACCAAGGACAGATATCAGTGCTGCTTATGGTTGAGTTATTATACTGTACGATAAGAGTTTCTGCTGTGAAGATGAAGTTATTATTCTTCTCCAGATTATGACACAAAGAACCAGTGCTTACAGGTATCTGTAGGTCTTGAGGAAGGTCTTGCGCAGATGCTTGCGGAAGGAGTCGTGTTTCCAGGCGTACAGGAACGGGTTGACGCAGGAGGACAGCATGGCGAACCACAGGCACAGCAGCTGGCAACAACAGGACAGCCGAGAAACAACTTGTGAAATTCTGCTCTTCAAGGACTACTCGTCTCATCACACTTGTAATGTGTGAGTGGATAGGTGTCCTTCAATTTTCCACCTTAAAATCTAAATTTTCCTATTGCTTTGATCAAGCAAAGTATTCCTTGATGTGCAAATTATGCCATTGGAATCCACACTCTAAGGTCGGCATCATTCCCATCATCCCATCCACTTGTGTACATTAAGGGTTACTGGATTATAAATTGTTCAATTCCTTGTTAATCTGTAACTACATTTTACAAATTTGCTTGATTTTTTACCAGTAAAAATGTGGTCTTTTAAAAAATAACAGTGGCCTCTGCTTCTTAGCTATTGGCTTCTTCATATAACTTTTAGTGCTGATCGGTGCTAATGACCCTAGCATGAGCTAGTACCTGGATCAGGTTGTAGTACTTCTCGTGGATAAGGTCGATGTTGACGTCATTGATGACGTTGAAGATGTTGATGGGGAACCAGCAGATGGCGAAGGCCACCACCACGCTCATCATCAGGCGGTTCGTTCTGCGCTTGCGCCGGTTCTGCTCCTCCTGCTGACGCTCGGTCATTGACCCCGGCATCACGCGGTTGCGCAGTTTCTGTAGCGAGAAAATATTCATTACTTTAACATTTTAATCAGAGTATCACTGCAAGGGCCCTACAAATCCACATGTTTTTTGCTGTTGCTATTGTCTGGCTGGACTTGCCCTACATCTTTTAGCCTGGCCGGTAGCTAGATCATCCCAGGCCCTTTGCATATTGGGCGACGGTAATCAGAAAGGCCAGAAGGAAATATGAGCAGCAAGAAAGAAAGGCATTTACTCTGTGTGCATGTGGCTGGGACCGGTAAAACACTCCTAAGCCGGTCCGTAGAGAATACTAAACAGGGTATATATATCTGTCGACTGTAAACGATTAACTGCATGGATACACATGATTGGCACGTTCTTACAACCTAGGTACAACGTTATCTAACGACGTGCATTCAGTCTTTCATTTAGCCAAAAAATCTTCGGCGAATAATTTCTATCACGATTCCACACCTCACTTATAATGGACCTGTCTCATTCATCGTAAGATTGTGGCAAGATTATTACCATTATCGCACGCTAAAGCCATTCATAGGCAGTCGTGGATATGTGGTACAAAATTCGGCTGTCTTGTTACGGAAAGTCTTAGAGCCTTGTGCTTAGTTGTTTCTGTAACCGTGCTTGAAAATTTGCAACATCAAAATCGTACGACGAACATATAATGTGTCCATGTCGTTAACAAGGCAAAGCTCTCACGTGTCCGATCTTGGCATATGCGGCGGAGATCATGAGCAGGGGCAGCCAGTACTGCACCACCCACATGGTGTTGGTGTAGATCATCTGCTGCTTCTTCTCGTCCCATTTCTCCTTGCACACGTAGAAGTCCAGGCCGATCTCAGTGAAGTCCAGGTAGTGGGTGTTGATGCCCACAGGCAGGGATAGTCCGACCGCTACCACCTGGGGAGAACGGGAAGAAACGGTTGTTGTGGCTTCTGCGTTAGTTTGTATTTTGTTTGCAATGCAATTGCTGTAATTTCTTTGAAAGATATGAAGTTAGATGCAATCAATAAATCAAGCAAGCAAGCAATGAATCCACTTTATTGCGCGACAGTTGTAATTGATACAATGTATGACAAATGAATACCACTGTATATGTACAACAAGTGTAATATCTGCACTATTCTCTCTGTCTTTCTCTGTCTGTGTCTCTCTCTGCCCCCCTCTTTCTCTCCCTTGCGCTCTCTGTCTCTCTATCTCAGTCTCTCTGTCTCTTTCTGTCTCCCTCTTCTTCTCTGTCTCTCTCTCTCTGTCTCTCTCTCTCTCTCTCTCTCTCTCTCTCTGTGAATATTTCTGTTTTGGTGATGTCGGTGAGAATGGTGGTGAGAATTTGCGATGCCGGACTTACCCAGATCAGTCCGATGATGGTGGCGCAGGTCCGCATCGACATCCGGGGCTTGAAGGGGTACATGATGACGTAGTAGCGGTCGATGGCAATGGCGGTGAGGGTCATGATGGACAGGTAGACAGACGTGGGTTGGAGGGAGAACACCAGGTAGCACATCACCTACAAAATGAATGAATGAATGGCTTATTCGATCGTTTTGATCAGGTAAAGTACATTTTTTAAATCTATGCATTGCCAGTCTCAGCTTAGCAGCTGTCACAAGGGCGCTGTTCAATACCACTGAGGTGGCGGTTAACACTTCTCTTAAATTTATGTCTGTCCTTAATAGCTACAATGTCCTGTGGGAGGAAGTTCCAGAGCTGTACTGTGGCCGGTAGGAAGGTTCTTCTGTGGGATGTTGTGGATGACTTTACAGGTTCCAGAGTGGCATGTCGCTGCCATAGGCTGAATTGCGTACTTTTTACATATTTAAAAACTGTTGGCATTAGGCTCTTTAAATACCGGTTAGCGCTCATGCTATCTTTCCTATTTAACAATTATAAAACAAGAAACACTACCTACGCTCCTGGCACAAGAAAACAAGTAGAAACCGTATATTACCTCCATTGACACACAACCCTTCCATTGATACTACCACTACATCAACCGGACCCAGCCTCACCATTCATATACATCCCCAGCCCTTCACTATGTATCTATCAGAAACAACCCCTTTCCACTAGAAGTTGCGAGCGGCGAACGACCGCACCACGCAATTAATGTTGTTGTGAAGCAGTGCAGGCGGGGATGACGATCGCTTCAAGTACACGTTGATCTTTTCAAGTGTTTTTACCTTATCAGTCAAGTTCTCTAGGCATCGATAACAAGTGCTAACTACACGTACTTAATGATTGATGCGAGTCTTATAACGATAAACACGATTAATTGCCAAAAAAAATATATCTTATTTTTACCAGAATCATATCTTTCAGATATTTATTAGATTGCTTAGGCCGTTGCGACTCCGTTTAAGAGTCACCACCACCAAATGTTTCATCACTTTGCACAGATAATCCCTGGCAATGGAACTTATCAGTTAGCCTTAAGAGTAGGTATTGAGAAAAATGGCGCTAAGGGTGGTAAGATGAATAGAGGAACATGCGAATTATAAGCCAGAGAACTGTACAGAAAGATTAACAATACTAGAAAGGTAGCATTTGAAGGGCAAATGCATAATGTTTACCTTCGCATATGATCTGCTCTGTTAATTCTTACTCAAACACATTCCTATATATGGTCAGATAGAAGTCTACATCCCTCCTGCTATAAAATTGCAACATGATGTAACCCAACACTAGTTACCATGGTAACAGACACAACATTGGTCAGGTCATTCAGGTCACTGTTTGGAGAAGAAGAAGAAACTGTGCAAAAACAGTATGTTTTTCTTCGGTAAACATAATAAGCCTGATATGTAGGCAGTTTAGGCTCCGATCACGTACATCATGCAGTTTTTTTCCGCGACGATATCGCCGCACGTCGTGGGTTTGAGAAGTTTGTAAACTATTTCACCCATTTCTTCTGAAATCTACAACGTCGCGGAAAAAATCTCAATTGCGGATGCATGGCACGGTATCTGTGACCGGGACTGGACCGTTGCGATATGCAATTTTAAGCTTCAGTCCACGCGAATGACATGCCTCTTGCATCGATAGCTTCTCGGGCAATCAATTCAGTGTCATTGATTACCCGTTGAGCAATTTACCTACCAATTACCACCATAGCTTAAAATCCCCACCGGTATACTTTACTGACGCAATTGACTGACGCAAGATATGCCTCACGCAGTAGTTTCATTACCAGTCTACTAGTTTAAAGCCTGTAGCATGGTGTTCAGTAATTTTGTGCCAAATTGTTGCGATAATTCAAATCAGCAAAGACTATGTCACTGGCATTGTGCCGAAAAGCTCCATACAAAGGTACATAAACGTTTTCGGTTGTTCAGATAACGATATGATGAGCGACGCCGTTTATATTATCATGATTAGTTGTCTCTGAATTGTGATGTAACTGTTTCATGTATATGACACATGAGATGTCCTAGGCGCAGATAGGTGTACACGTACCGTCTACACAATGTCTTGGAATATCTTTTAAGTTTATATTGACTAGTTTACCCTGGCTATTCGGAACGCACGCTATCTATGCGCTTGTCATACGTTACAAAAAAGTACGATGCACTGTCCGATCGCAAGACGAACCCATAAGTTCGTTCAGCATGCATTTTATTTGCGCTTCAAGTACGCTGTGTATCCGTCCAATGTACGCGGCTCATAGCTATAGGTGCAGGTCCATGTGCAGATCGGCGTATCGCTGCGTGTGAACTACGTAACCCCCGCGAACGAATTATACTCGTACCGTGTTCGACCGATGCACTGCGTATTTATAACTTATGACCTGCGTAACAACGTACGCTGCCAAAGGATACGCTGCCACCTGGCCTAAGTGCGTTCATAAAATTTACACAAAACGATTAAAGTGCATATAACGTATGTATTGTGCATACGGCTGCGTATAAAAAAACCTCTGCACGTAACTCGTACGCAATATAAAGACACACAGAATTGTGAAAGGGCCATTAAGGCATTGGTAAGTGGCTCGCTAAACCTAGCTTTTATGGCCGTACTCTCCAGGTAAGGGCTCGATCACATTAGTCGTACAATCATTGAATGCATGTATATCGAAGGGATAGCTGAGCATGTGCCGTAAAAACCATCTTCTTACGTAAAAAAAGCCGTCTCATATCCTTAATAATTTTGTTACAGGCTGCTTGAAAACTCTACAACAACAGCCTAAGATGAATGTGAACTCGCAGTGATACCCCGACTATAATGCGTTTTGAGAGAAACTGCCAGGGAAAGAAACGCACGTCAATCACGTTGAGAGCAAAAGCGTACCAGAGAGATGGCCAACACTGCAGGCCCAATGCACGCCCTAAGGCCTAAGTCCCACCAAATCCTACCAAAGGCAAGCCCAGGGTCGTTATGTCTTATCTCAATCCCACAGAAAAGCACGAGCCCTTTGTCTACAACCTCCCACACCTGTGTGGCTGGATAGCGCGCCGCCTTCTCTCCCCAGCGGCCTGCCGAGGTCACTAGGGTAGCGTTACCTACGGATCAGCGGTCGTCATGTTAAATGTCACGCGCACGAGGTAGTAAGAATCAACGGTAGGTGTTTTGTCCAATAACATATCCGGGGAATAATCCTTCGACTCATAAGAGCCATAATGGGGATCTCCTCGTGGATCTTTTTAGTTCTCGGAAACCTGCCTCTGCAAGCAGAGAGTGCGTGGGCGTGCATAGAAGCTTTTAGTATAGATTCAAAGTGATGTTCAATGCAAATTTGCTATCACTTTGCAGAGATGTCTGTCCGCAAACTTAGTTAAGTTTGCATTTAGTTTCAAAACACGTACAAGATTCTTTCCAGGATCATATTGGCATGAATATAATGTCATTACTCATCAACTTAAGTCCAATACTTACTTTTAACAAATGCAGAACTATCACCTCAAGGTTTATTCAGAAGATATCACGTTACGACAAAAGAAAAAAAATCCTTTTTTTTCAGGGGGTAGGCTGATGAGACGTAACAGCCCCCCGTAGCAATGTATGGCTTTGTATAGCTGCTGCAACGACTACCAAGACCCTTGGCATGATGTACGGCAGAAGTGCGTAAAGTTGACACTGCTTCCGGGAGTGATGTATTACCGAATGTCACTTCAGTAATACTGGTGTCACTGGCACTATACGTATATCCTTCCGCGGAGGCGGAGAGCTAGATGGGAACATAGAAACCATCCATCCCGTCGCCTACTTCTGCGCGTTTGACGGATGTGGATACTGAGTTAACCTGCTGCTGCACCTCGGTGGATCAGTTTACGGATCCATGTCCGGAGGACCATCAGGTCCACGTTTTCACGCACCATTTTACGACTATTCAAGCCCCGGCCACACTCAACGTCTAACGAACATATCGAGGATTTTTGCGCGACGATCATGTCGTACGGAGTAAATTTGGATGCAATTTACAATCTCCAACGTATGTCGTCGCGAAAAATAACCCTAATGTCGATTGTACGATGTATGTGACCGGCCGGTGCTTTAGTTAATGCTCTCTTTCCATCAGACGCCGGTCGCTGAGAGTTGGATACGTGTGTGACCCTTGATTTTACACTTGGAATATGATGCACGGCACAGGAACCGTTCTATGTCTATGAAATTCGTTCAGCGATCTGTCAAATGTGTGATCCTTCAGCGGTCACGGGCTTAAGGGCGTCGAAACTAAGGGGGTGTTAATTATGGATCCGCGACCTTAGATCGAAATGGACCTATAACGTAGATAATCTGATAGATTGAAGGGATCGTAGCGATCTTATCTACTTTGGAAACGTAATGAGGAGACGGTCATGTAATTGAACGTATTTCCACTTGTCACGGTCATTGACCTATACAATCAATGACAACCGGTTACATTGACTTAAACATGATGCAAAAACGTACAGAGTAGAGTCAGAGCAGGTGCAAAATGAGTTCTGATTGCCTCAAAGTTTCTACAAACAAGCACTACATATGTACGTACAAGCTTTATTCCATTGAAGTTAGTATAATACTGCTGTTACACATGGCATCCCGCAGGTCTTCTCTGTTCGAATTTAAAGTTTCAGATATATGTTTGTTCAAGGCCAAGTCAATGTGGTGGGCCCGGCATGAGTACGGCTGGCCTGCACAGATCGGTAGGTTGGTACGCGGGGGACAGGACCTTATAATCCGGGTTCAGCATAAATAGGCGGCGTTTCCCCCACTTACCTGGCGCTTCTCTCTCGGGACGGATTATTTGACACAAAGTTCAGCCAAAGAGCACGTAAAGAAACATGAGCTTCCACCCTGTGAATGGGCCTTCTTGTTAAGGGGACCTTTTAGATGATGATGGCTGCCCTATAATCGACATAACGAGAGGCTTCAGCCAGTTTCCTGCTGATTGTGCCCTCATTGGGGTTCATTTTTATTGCATCGTTAGGTAGACTTTTTCTTTTACTTTAGCATTTGAATTAGGGGTCCGGAAAACCTTTGTAAGGGGTCATTCATGTTTTTTATGTACACGGTAGGTATTCAGATTCAGATTACCAGTAAAACTGGATACGGTCAAAATAGTCTGACAGAAAACGTCGAGAAAGAGCACATCAATTTGCTGCATGGTGATCACCCAACAAATGTTGTAGCAGATTTTAAGATCTTACCGGGCGGTACGCCCGCCCAGTTGCTTGATGAAATACTTAGAGGTAGGCCAAGAGGCAAACTACCATACACATTGAACCCTGCATATACGTATTATTCACAGACCCGTGCATAAGTTCTATAACTACCAATGAAACGATGGCGGGCACGTGGGATAATCGCTTGATCGATGAGACGCCAGTAGGATCACCGCCATGAGAACACCTTCAGAGTCGTACATGCGTTACGAAAGGAGTCGGGGGATTGGTTCTGCTTTAGTCGAGAGATACAGGAGGGAACTTGAGTGATCCTGGACAGGTAGATGAATGCCCGGGCAGAGCTTTCATCACCATTCCAAGTAGACGGAAAGTGATTTAGATTTCCTGGAGGTGTTCACCTGAGAGCGTTTTCAATCTTCCGTAATGCCGTGGAAATATACACAACTCCCGAGTGGTTTCTTTCAATAGTTATTTCTTTAATTTCCGTGAGTTTTGAGGATTAAAGGCGGATCCAGGACGTCTATACTCGCCACGTCTTGGCGGTGATGAATTGAACGAACCGACTTTTATATCTTTCTCAAATACCTGTTTCATCAGATACTTTGAATGCAATTTAAATGGAAAGCATTTGATTGAAGCGCTGCCAGTTTGTAAGGCCGATAATGAACATGTCATGTTGATCCGTGTACTTTAATAAGAAGGGTTGGATTTTGAGGGATTTTGAGCTCTGTAGAAAATGTGTCGTCTTGTTCCATACAACGTCTGGTAAACTAACTGAATATTCTGGAGTTATCCTCCTTCAAAGTTTTCGGGAGATGAAAAACATTTCCCAACTGCTGGCTCCCATAGTTAAGTAAGGCGCAACAGGTAATAGCAGGAAATTAAAGAGACATAAAGAGGGAAAGGAGATAACCGTTGACACATTCTGGAACCTTCGACCTACTCTCCCTGACAGCTTCAGTGTCCCGTGCGACTTCCTATCACCCTTTGGTGAGACGTGCCTAGCATGCAGATTCAATGAGTAACTACGGAAACACAGACAAAGTCACAAACAGACAAACAGAAACACCGAGCACAATATCTCAGTTCACGGCTGACAAAGATGATTTAGGAACACCATCGGTGCAAATCTATTGATATAGACTTACTGGGATAGCGGTATGTATCAAAGCAGATACTGTTGTCACCGAGGAATGTTTAAATGGAATTGACGTGTCTATATGTTGCTAGCTTTACTCCACTTCCAACAGCCGCTGCCCAGCGGACTAAAGCTAACAAGACTGGACTCCAGGCAAAAGATCGTCTGCACCGAAAAAGTTGGTTTTCTTACTCATTCATGAAACTGCACCTTCTAGCTGCACGCTTTGCAGTCATTCCTTTGAAGTTGGCACCTATTCAGAATTCGAAGAACCCCGCTGTTTTTCATAACTTTGTTGGTCCGCTGAATTGGATATTTTCTGTTCATCAGACTTTACTAAAGTGTTGGCTGGGACATAAAATCCAAAACTTTGTCTCTCAGTCGTAAGTGGTAAAACTAAATTGTCGTGGTGGCAATGGTTGAAATTCTGATTGAATAAGGCCCCATTCCCACTAGGTTAAATTGTCTGGATCAAGCCGAATTGATTCGCTTTGATCCGGCTTCGATCCGGCTCAATCCGGCTCGAAGCCGAATCAAATTTTATCCTAGTGGGAAAAGGGCCTAACTTTCTGAGACAATTAACAAATTATGCATCCACTGTCAAGTGAAGTCTAGGAGAACTAATTCGCTCGTGACGCAGGTACGTGGTACGATTAATTTGTCTATCGGGATACCAAACGTCTTGAAACACGTATACGCGTAGGCGTCAGCTTTACTTCAACTGCCGCCGCGATCCTCGGTAAGATGTGGATATATGTGCTGGTGCTGTGACAGCTTAAAAGGTTCAATCACTTGAAGCTACACAGGGTTCGTCATGCGCGCAATGGATACAATTGAATCATGTGTACCTTTTTGTGTGAAGGTGTAATATTTGGCTAGTAGGCAAATCAAATTGGCGGGAATCTCGGTACTGTGCATCGCTTGGAATGGTCTCCTGGTAACGATATCGTCATTCCTGGCGATAACGTCATACTTCTCAAGATGAATGACGGGATTTGAACTGGTACAATGTACGTATGTATGATGTTGTACGCGATTTCTCCAGCAAAATTTCATTTATTACTTCTAACTGTACAACCACTGCTGAGAACGAATGGATTGCTCTTCTGTGTATGTAGTTATTTGAACACATTCCATGCCCGTAGCCAAGATTTTGATGGGGTGGGGGTCTTCCTACTTGCCGAGGGACCAGAGAGCGTTCCAAGAGGAGTCCAGGGGCATGCTCTCCCGGAAAATTTTGAAACGTGTACCTTCTGAAATGGCATTTCCTGCGTATTTGAGAGAATTTCAAAGGATAAATCAGAGACACTTACACAAGTGAGCAGTTTTTCTAGCATTCCAGTTACTTTTTAATGAAAAATCTTGGACCTTTGAGCTTGTGTGGGGGTTCTTCTGAACCCCCGTACCCCGGCTACGGGCATGCATGTACAGTAGAGTAACAGGAAGTGAGGGGGAAATGGTGTAACCGCAGACTGACCGGAAGGTTGGTTAGGGGTAATGATCTCCCCACAGCCTGATGGGAAGTAAATGGTTCAAGCTTCCCCCATTTCCTGTCTTCAGTTTGCTGCGATATTCGTGTCTATTGCTTTATGGAAACCAGTGCGAACATGCATATGTAGAATTACAATTTCCCAAATATGAATGAAACAAAACAGTTCTAAATACTTCACGGAGATGTGAAATCTTCTACTTCTTGTGCGGGACTGTACTGACCTCTCCGAAGTACCAGCTGTGTTCCAGTGAGTAGGCCAGGGTGAAGGGGATGCACATCACACAGGTGGCGATGTCTGACACGGCCAGGTTACAGATGAAGACGTTCGTCACACTGCGCATGCTCTTGTTGCGGAGGATGACGTAGGTGAGCAGCACGTTCCCGACAACCCCCACGAGCACGATGGCGCCGAACATGGGGATGAGCAGGGGGCTGAGACTCTGGACCAGCAACACTCCGGGGTACTGGAGGGAGGGAGGGGGGTCGGAAGTTGTTAACTAGTACGGATCACATGTACATACATAGTCTGACGCAGATTTTGTCCATAACGTCGCGGTCACATACGGTGTTGGTGGTCGTAAGATTTTCATGTCGTGGGATTACGTATCAAGCAGGCTGTTACAGACCAACCGTCGACTAGAGCCTAAGGCAGCTGAATTTTGCATCACACGTACACATGCAAGAATGTATCCAGTATGTACAATGATCATACGGCTCATACCGGTCCCTAAGTAAGTGAGGACTGAGGGACGGTCACGTGCACATTCGGATCGCAAATTGAGATAATTCTTGGAACACTAAGTAGCCCCGCATGTGTCCTGGAAAATTCAGCTTTGTTCCAGAGATGTTGGGTAGTCGGGGGTTGTTTTCGGCGGTTGGTTCTGTCACAGTCTGCTTGAAAACTGTACGAGATCATAAACGTTCTACGACCCAGGACGAATGTGACCGCGCCTTAAAGTCGTGTCCGTACTTGCACGTCACACAGCTAAAGCTACATAATCTGACTAAAAGTGACTGAAGTCCCAACTCACACTAGAGAAAACATTTCTTGTCTTCTCCCTGCCATATTCTACAATCGCTACAACGTTTTGATACTATCGTGGGTAATTTTCAATATCTAAAATGTAATCTTGAGTTGAAAGGCAACGGGCTCTATGTGGGTGGCCTAGGCGACCCTAGATAGTCTCAACGCATGCACATCAAAGATAACGCAATGCCGTGGGAGACTCAAAAGTCGATATCTTTCATATTCGTGAAATGATATCGGACAGCAAATCTCAATACTAGTTAGCTATATATATATAGGTGCATACAAGGTGATGAGAGATCAAAACAATGCCGTAAGGCTGTGATCTTCATCATACTGAAAAATTACACATATTTGTAGGACTAGTGAGCCACAGCCGGACACAGACGACTTGGCATGGTCTCTATCGTCGAGAACGACGGACGAACAACATCTGAAAAATTCAGTTCCCACACAACCGTGTCATCCCTTTCTGATTCTGATAAAAACCACTGCCGGTTATCTTTTGATTAATTATGTGACATTTATCTACGCAGTCGAACATGATGAGGCGTCGTGACCGGCACGGCGGTCTGTGTTCTTACATATGATGATTATCTTTGTACGCCGTATATAATCTTGAGAAGTAACCGGTACAATAGTTTCATTTTCAGACCAATGCAAATATTTTCTCTCGAATTTATCACGCAACGGTGATATCGTTGCAGAAAAAAACTTCGAAGGTGCATCGTACGATTTATGTAACGTGGTTTGAGGCGGAAGTATGACGTTTCTTTTGTACGCCGTTTTCACTCTCCAAGCAGAGGCTTTCTTCTTTTTTTGCACTGGAATTTCTTTGCACCCAAACCAGTGCAAAAAAAAAGAAAACCCGATAAAAAAAGCCTAAAAGCACGCCAAAAATAACCTCAAACCCAAATCTCTGCTTGGAGAGTACGCCGTTTTGAGCGCGTGCAACGGGTCTACCAAAGCTAAAGCCATAGTTTCACATAGGGATGTAACGGAGCCGCCCGGAGATACGCGGCCCGGACAGATACTGACTAGCCTTATACCGGGACTTCTGATCGGGCCCAGAGCAAAAATTTGGTTTCAGCCGGGGGTTTGGGTCTACGGGGATACATATGTTTCTCCTTGGAGCTGTTGACACAAAATCAAAGGTGGTCAATAAATGGTATGTTTTCTTCATGTTTGTTGTCATGCTAACAGCGATATCAATGGAGATTATAGATATTTTGCTTTTGTCGTGGCTTTGTTATCTTCCTCATGATATAGATCAACACCAGATCAACACCATTACAAATGTGTCCGTACCACGAACTTCAAACAGCTTTGCTTTTCTTCCGAACGTACAGGTCAGCAAGCTTCCACCTTCTGTGATATTTGACTCTCTTTCTTCAAACAATAACCACAAGGAATTCGCGACGTCTTTTGACCAAGAAGTCTTTTAATGAAGGCGGTCAATTCTTCTACTGGGAGCCGAAGTACGTGCGAGAAATGAACCAACCACTAGGCCTGGAAATGGATATTAGTCGTCTTTCTAACAGGTTTGTTCGTGTGCTTTCGTGTACATGTTTTTTTTTTTGAGCGACGGGGCGAACAACAGGTTGTTTCAAGCACAAGACTAGAGCACACCGTATGTCGATCGGCGGGTAAGGGTTTCTTCTTCATTCAAACATAGTCAGTTAACGTTTTCAGCTTCCATACAGTTGGGCAAAGAGATGACAAGGACTACTAAAAGATTAAACCAAGGTTTATTCACTGTCTAACTACCATAAAAATATCGATTGCTGACGATCTATCTTCCATATCAACCTGCTCTACTCTCAATCCAACAGAAGCCTCTTACCTGTGGAGGGACCAAGAGTCGCTCGGTCCCGTTGTTGAAAACATCAGTGTCGTTCCAGCTCGTCTCGTTGATGAATTCGTCCATCTCTGACGGCTTTCAGTGCTCCCCGCGGGAGCAGAGGGCACACCGAAAGGGTCCCAGCAAAAAAAGCTGTTCGTCACAGACCTGGAAGAAGAAGGAACATCGCCCTGTGTTAGCCGGAGAGCAGTGTTCGCGTGTGCTCGCTTCTTCGCCAGTCTCTCCGAAAATGAGCAATCCGCGAAGCGGCACCAGAAGACCAATGTGGGCGTGTCCAGCGGGCCTGTCCTCCACCAATCAGCGGCTGCGCTGGTGCTGTGAAGTGTTTTCTTCCTCTCTTATTTGCGGAGCCAGCCGACCGTACGGCCTTTCAATAAAATGGTTTTGTGATTTTCCTCCGCCTATTGACGACGTCCTAGATTCATTTTGTGTTTTTTTTAATACAACGCCTTTGTGGTTGTCTGTATGAATACCAAACATCCACTGTACTTGGCATCCATACTGCATAACACATACGACATAACAATACGAAAGCGCATTTACTGTATGAAGAAACACCCTTGTGAGAGACGTGTGTGTACACGAGCTAAGACTAAGAATACAGTTCGGGAGCGGGAAACTGTTCTTTCAGCCTCGCCCAACTCTCCTGTCATATCATCTGTCTATTTGGCCAATTTCTACTCTTTCTAGCGGCTTCCCGAAGTCTGGTATTGGCTTATATCCGCTATGGTGCAATTACGGGGTCGAATATACTAATTAACGGGGTGAAATATACTAATTAACGGGGTCGAACATACTAATTTACGGGGTCAAATATACTAATTTACGGGGGGCGAATATACTAATTTCTCATTTTCACGGCGTTTATCTGATAAGTCAAGGTGACGGGTAATAATGGGGTTTTCCCCACACAAATTATTATAAATGACTCGTAAAATAGGGCATTTTGTTTTTGCATCTCCCGGGGATTCCCACCAAGGTATGAGAAAACTTTAGAACTACCAACTGTTAAAGTACTATTATAAGCTAATGATTTTGACAAACCACTACTGAATACAAGTTAGGGCGTACAACTGTTGCAAGAATAAAGAAGCGGGTTAAATATGAATGTTATGATGTTGTTTTGCCATGTACTCCGTCCTTGTCCTACAAAAGTGGACCGTACTTAGTCCAGACTTAGAGACGCTGGGAGCCTGACTTTCATCAGTGTGTGTGTGACGTAAAATGTGGCCTTTCTGTCAACCTGCTCTAGGGCTGATTGTCATGAAATCTGGATCAGCTGTACTAGCGACCTCTTAGTCTTACCGGCATTGTGCGGCAAAATGTTGATATGCACTTATAGATATCTACATTTAATATTCCTGATCGTTTTACCACCCTCCAAACGGTTTATGCCAGAAAGTACTATTCTGCCTTCCCCGAGCTTTTAGCAACCCTTTCAGGCTTCTCTGGTGGAGGAGGCCCACTTAGCCCCCGACATCGAAAAACTGTGACGTGTGACATACGCTCAGAAAATCTAAAAAGACATGCCAAAGTAACAGTTACTCAAGCAAAACTGGCTAGATTTTCATATCCAGCTGATAGCATAATTGTTACTTGATTTTGGGATCTTTTTACCTCGATGTCCAGCTTTCATTGCTATGATTTGTACAAATTTCTGATATGCCCCTAGGGCCATAGGGCTACATGTCCCACTTAAAAGCCTGCCATTTTGTTACTTCAGACTTGCTACAAATAATGGAGGTGTTGGAGACTTACGCAATATGAGGTAGGCCTTCCCAGATGTATGTACAAGCCAAGGGTCAACCCTTTCTTATCTTATTTTCCATTCATTACTTCTGTCCTAGAACTTTGAGTAAAAAGCCGCTGGAAGTACCGGACGCAATCTTCCCCAAGAGTGAACCTTTAGATATAAAAGGAATCCGAGGAAATCACCTAAGTACTAACAGTCATGTAAGTAACCAAAGCTCTTAGCGCTTTATCCGCGGTAAAACGTCGGAGCAAATACACTTGATTTTTGACTATACACATCGTTTGGCGTAGGTGCAAGGAATTTGCCAAACAGACGTATTTTTTTTTTTTTTTTTTTACTATTTCCGTGTCCGCCACGGCACTTTATTCTCTCCACATGTATGTTACAAATAATATGTCAGCATATAAGCATAATAAATTAATGAAGTACATGAGTCTTGCGAACATAAAACATTTTTTTTTTGTGTGTGTGTGCTTATCTTATTTCTCTTTCAGAGACAGAGTAGAGAGTCTTATTCTTGTCATTCTGAATAGTAATCATGAGTGAATGTCTTAAACAAATGTAGCACATTGTGTTTTCTAAATAACTCAGGATGATCCTTGTATGCTATCCAAGATACATAAATTGTATATTTTGCTAAGGTGACATAAAAATTATCTCCAAATAGTACAGAAGCTATCGTATTTGTGTCTATAGTAATATCATTTTCTGAAAGCAAGTGCCTTAATCCCCCCCAGTAGTACTTTGATCCTTTTACATTCAAAAAACATATGAACATAGTTTTCATCTTGGTTACAAATGTCGCATTTGGGACTGTATATGGTTCCTAGGGTATTAACTATTTTCCATTTGTTCAATAAAAACTTGCAAGGAAGTATTTTATGCAGTAATTTAAAGTTGAATTCTTTTAATCTATTTTCTTTTAATCTTCTGGTTTGTGTTTCCCATATTTTCTTCCAGTTAAGATTCGAGAAAAGACTGTCCCAGTAAGATTGGGAGGAAGGTATAGTGATAATTGTAGACAGACAAAGAGAGTATAAAAATTTGGTGTCAAGCTTTTCAATAGGTATTTTGCATAAATTGATCCATATCATATGGCTTTCCTTGCGAATCTTTATCTTGAAATTTTCGTTTGACCATATTCTATCATCGTATATTTTCACAGGATCCCCCTTCCCCCCTCCAAGTTTCTGCCAGGCTAGAACCACTTCTCTATAAAAGGGTGGGAGTTTAGTCAGGGGTAGAGTATTTTTTTTAACTA